AGAGAGAGAGAGAGAGAGAAAGAGAGAGAGAGGGAGAGAGAGAGAACGACCATAAACACGCACATAATGCACGATAGATAAATAGTCCACAGTGGTATTAAATTGTTGTCATAAAGCTTGTTAAAGTGGCGTTAATTTTCTGAAAATGTACCATTTTGTAGAGATAATGATATTGAGTTATAACACTGTATATGATTTCAGGGAATAGTTTCACGCCTCTTCAGATGAATGTGACCACACCTACCAATAATTCACCCATAGTTCCCCCCACCATGGTGCACTGAATCCTCTCCCTCCTTGTTCTCCCTACCTCCCCACCTCAATTCTGCAGCCAAATTTGTTTTATTTTTGTCTGTTTCTTTGTTCTGTTTCTCTATATTCCACATATAAGTGAAATCATATAGTAATTTGTCTGTTCCTCTCTGACTTATTTCACTTAGCATAACATCTAGTTCCACCCATATTATTGCAAATTGTTATATTTCACTTTTTTTTAATAGATGAGTAGCAGTCCATTGTGTTTATATACACACCAGATATTCTTTTTTTTTTTTTTTTTAAGATTTTTTATTTATACAGAACTGGAGTACAGGCTAGAGGTACAGGGGCAGTGAGAAGTTTAACCAGAGACAGAGCAGGGAGCAGAACAGGCACATCAATGAAATACACTACTGAGAAGAGAAGCAGGTGAGACAGGAGAGGTCTGCTGCGCCATGTGGATCACCTCTGGAGCTGGAGATTGAACTCTCACTGAAGTGGCTGCGGTCAGCTTGAAATGCTGCGTCCTAACCCACTGCACCACCGGGGAGGGCCCTACATACCAGATATTCTTAACTTGCTCATATCATCTGTCTTTGGACATTATTGAGAGGCACCATTTAACCAGTTGATGTTAAAATATCTTATTTACAACTTTTCCCAAGACATGGTTATGTGAACCTATTGCTAAGGTCCTTCTTAGGGCCTGGGAAAGAACTCAAATATATAGCACTCTGATGCTAAGGCTTCATTAGCTTTAGAGTAAAACCACGAGAGACATAGTGCAGCAGGAATTGTAAAAGGCTAGAGGGTAATTAATGTTGCAGTAATTCTATTATCCATAGCACTGAGTAGCTTGTGAAGCCATGCTGAAAGCCCAGCCCACAGAAATGCTAGTCTGGAAATCCAGAGAAGAGAGCTATCAGCAGCATCATAAATGCAAGCCACTCCCGATTATCTAAATCAAAGGGAAGAACAGTCACAAAGAAACGAATGAACAAATAGATAGAACTAGAAAGCTAAGGACAAAATGGCAGCACACTCTCAGATCTCAAAAATCACCCTAAAGATCAATAGACTGAACTCATCAATCAAAGGTACAGAGTGACTTGGATCCTGCTGTCTCCAGGAGACGCACCTGAGCTCCAAAACGGAGGCTCAGAGTAAATGGTTGCAAAAGATATCCAAGCAAAGGGGACCCAAAGAAAGGTAGGGACAGACACATTTATATAAAATAGATTTCCAGCTAAATTAGGTAACGAGAGAAAGGGAGAGAAACTATTTTAGGTCACAAAACAAGCGTTAGTATATTCATGCAGATTGAAAGCATGTGAAGTATCTTCTTGGGTCACTATGATATTACATGATGACACCCATCTCATATTACCTAAGTAATATATAATATTATAATGTAATATTAATGTAATTAATAAAAAACCCTGAGACAGTTTTACCTTGATAATAATAAAAGTGAATATAGTGCAATGCCACTTACCCTTCTTGCCAATGGGCCCCATCTTGCCAAGGTGGCCTTGATCTCCTATATCTCCCAGCTCTCCCTTAATTCCTGCAAAACAAAGCAAGTCATCTTTCTTTCTTTCTTTTTTAAGATTTATTTATTTGTGCATACAGAACTGGGGTACAGGCCAGAGGCTCAGGGGCGGCGAGAGGCTTCACCAGAGACAGAGTGGGAAGCAGAACAGGCAGATCGACGAAGTACACTGCTGAGGGGAGCAGCGGGCGGGTCAGGAGAAGTCTCCCATGCCATGTGGTCACCTCCGGGGCAGGCGGGAATCGAACTCATGCGGAAGCAGCTTTAGATTTTCAGTGCTGTGCTTTAACCCGCTGCGCCACCAGGGAGGGCCACAAGTCATCTTTAGATCCTAAGATTTTATCTTTTTGAAAAAGATGTGGGCATCTAAGATACTCACCTGAAATAGTCAAGCAGCTCTTTATTCTCTAGCTATGGTATTTCATATTTACCTCTGCTGTTTATCTATTTTAAGAGTATTACAATGTATCTATTCAAAGTAAAACTTGAGTGAGTCTGACAGTCCAGGGCTTGATGATATTAAACTCCTTAATGATGAGTATTTCTAAAAGGACTACATCAGAGGCTGCTTAATCTCAAGGTTAGATAAGGGGCTGAGTGAAAGAATTTTTCATTCTATTCTAATTCTCTTTCTCTCTCGTCCATTTTGGTTTTATTTTGGGATTCTCTTTCCTCTGTATTTTAAAACAATACTTGACTGTCACTGCCACTTTAAAAGAGGGGAAAGAACACACAAATCATAACCTAGTAATTGAAGTACATCAGAGATCGTCCCAGTGAGCTTTTATTTATTAGAAAACCTCAGATCAAAAAAAAAAAAAAACAAAAAAACAAACCTTAGATCACTAAATTCTTCCAAAATTGTTATTAAGTTTATTTGTTCCTATAACAATCTAAATAATATCAGCCCGTTCTAAAACAATATTTTTATAATACATTTACGATTGATTATAGAGTAAGAAGAATTTAAATCAGCTTTTCTTGAATTGAGACCCCAAAGATCTATGAGGCTTTTCTTCTCCTAAATTACTGAAGAATAAAAACTTTATGCTTTCTGACCACCTCCTGATAGGGCTTCGCAGGTGATTCCAGTGCTTGGAAGACATGTGCTTATGCACCACAGCCCAGGAGCTGTATTCTGGCAAGACTTACTCTTGGTTTGGGAGTAAAAATATTGCTTTATAGCCTTGCCTTTATATTCTTCTCATCTTCTTTGCTCTTACTCCTACATCCCCTGTGCCAAGAGCTTTAGAAGAGAGTGGAGCATATCAATGGATCAGACAACTCTTCTTGGTCCTTCCTAGTTCCCTCCTCACCCTCTCGGTGACAACAAAAGGCTGCTTAGCAACAGCTTCAGATGGGAGACATCTCTGAACATAACTGTTTCTGAAATTCAATAGCTGGTTGGACATCCCCAGACACTGCTATTTCCAGGAATCCTAGAGTGTCCCCTCCCTGCTGATGAAAGGTGCCAGTCAACTGAGATGAAAAATGTGCAAAATGAAGAATGATGGAAAAAAAGAAAAAAAGAAAGGTGCCCCAGTCTAACTGACAGGTGATCTCATAGGAACTCACGGGTAGCAAGTAAATTCCTACCTCAAACAGATTTCATATATCTTGAAGCTGAGGGCATTAGAAGAGTCATAATTGTCAGGGAAACCAGTAGAGAGAGACAAGCAATTCTAATGCCACAGTGTCAATTTCGACCTACCTTTCGGACCCATGCGCCCCACTTTGCCGTGCTTTCCTTCCTCTCCGGGGTCTCCTTTTTCACCATCATCTCCTTTTGAAATGAAACATGAGAGTTAAGCAGCTTAATTGGTAACTTATGTGCACCCCAGTGTAGGAGGCAAGATTGCAAACTCTCCAGAAGCCCCGTGATTCTGCTATGAGTTTGTATAAAGGGCTTGTAGGTTGGATACTTGGCCAGGAGGAGAAACTCTCTGTATATTTTCTCCACAGCCAATTCTATGTTTATGGGAATGCTGCTGGTTAATCCCTAAGAAGTTTGTTTGGCCTGAAAAATCTTGATTCTTGTTGGAGAATCAGGCAAGTTCTGGATGTATGTAGATGTATATTATTTCAATACACATGTCTATTTATATATTACATATGAGATAATATTGCATGTATTTGTTCATTATTGTTATTAAAATATATAAATTAGATATATCCATGTAAATATATATGATACTCATGTAGATATATATATATATAAGTGCATATATACTGTGATCCCCCTTATTCATGAAGGGATGTTCCCAGATCCTCTGTGGGTCCCTGAACTGCACATAAAATTCTACAGATTGTGTTTTCCCTGTAGATACAAGCTTACTATAAAGTTGTAAAGTTGCAAACTAAGCACAATAAGAGATTAATAACAGTTATAAATTAGAACAATATATGCTGTTCTTGCTCAAATTATCTTTATTTTCAAAATATCTCTTGTTACGTAATACTGTTGGATGTGTTATTTTGGACTATTGTTGATTGTAGATTAGGGAGGAATTACTGTGTATGAATCCATGACTCTGACTGTATGTATGGGACCCCACACTGTAGGCATGGACTGGGAAGTTAAGGACAGAAAACTCACTAACAATAAGGGGAGAGTTGCAAAACACCTCTGTGTGAGCCCCAACTATCTCAGTCATTGGTGGCTCTAACCTTAGCACATGCCTAGTCAAGAAGGGCTTAATCAATGACTAATAAAAGAGTTCCTGGACTAGAAATTAAGAGATCTGGATTTAACATCATGGTGGCCATAGACAGGGCTGAGCGAAGCCTCAGATGTCAGTGATTGGTTTTAGCAACACTGGAAGGAGAGTGCTATACAGGGAAGACCCGGACCATGGTTGTGCTTAGCCCTGTGGCACTATTCCTTCCTCTATACTTCAGTTTCCTCGTCCATTACCGGGGATAATACCTGCCCTCCCTACCTGTCCCAGTGTTTTGGGATCAACAAGATGAGCATCTGAATGTGCTTTCAAAATAAAGAGCAAAGTTCACACAATATTATTACAAACTACTTACATTATCATCACAGTAATCTCAGGACATGAAGGAAACCTGCCGTCAACACAGGAAAGAAACAGACTTCAGAAGATAAAAATGAACTTTCTTGGATTAGACACTTTGGGAGAGAGAAAGTTGAGATTTTTCATTTATTTCTCCAGAATAAAAGCCTGACCAACTATTCTCTATTTTTTTTTTAAGAGAATCTTAATATCTTTAGTGATAGCACTAGCAAAGAATGCAAGAGTTGCTTTTCAGTTTGTCGTATTGGCCAAACATTGAAACTCAAATCTCCTTTTTGGAAAGGATTTCAACACAAGATGCACAGATGATTTGTGTGACCAGACTAGATGGGTGATGTATATGGTCCAGGGGGCATTTTTCTGCTTCAAGTTAATAGTGACTATGTATTAGCAATTGCAGTGGGTGCCTGCACTATGCCAGTGTAGGCATCATAACAATTGTAGGATGAGGAGGCCATGACTGTGTCATTTTATGAATGGAAAAACTGAGACACAGCAAGAAGGTTGGTGACTTGCCTCCTGTCATAGAGCTTGTAAGTGGTAGAAGTCAGAGTCAGCAACATGCACACATCACTGTTCTTCCAGTTCCCTGATGGTAATCAACTGATCCTCCAGCCTAAACTTCTCTGAGTATTAGCAGATTATTGACTTTGTTTTAAAGGTTTATTTATGTATGCATACAAGAATGGGGTACGGTCCAGAGTGTGGGGTGGGAGTGGTGAGAAGATTCACCGGAGACTTAGTGGGGAGCAGAACCGGCAGAATGACTGAAATACACTGCTGAGGGGAGCAGCAGGTGCAGGATAGGAGAGGTCTGCCAAACCATGTGGGTCAGCTCCCTGAAGGGGATCGAATTCACTCTGCAGTGGCTGCAGGTAGCTCCATTGTGTTGTACTTTAACCCCTTGCACCGCCATGGAGGGCTCCAAAAACTACTGATTTTAAAGAACTTTGCACAGTGATAAAATTTGTAGGATTGAAAAAGGAGATGCAGAAAGGACACATTTGTTCCTTTTTTTGTTAAGAAAGAAAATGAGAAAGAAAAAAAAATAGGGAGCTTTTTAATCTCAATGACTTAGTTCCCAAGGAATATATTCCTGAGTTAGTTTAGTACAACTGTGACTTCACATAGGTACTCACTCACTACCTGGGGATCTTGCAAAGTTCCTGACCTTTGGTGAATCTTGCTTTGTGCACTTATAGGTTGGATACCATAATACCATAATACCTTTTTTTTTTTTTAAGAAAAAAAAATATTTATGCATACAGAACTGGGGTACAGGCCAGAGGTCCAGGGGCAGTGAGAGAATTTACCAGAGACAGAGTAGGGAGCAGAATAGGCAGATGGATGAAGTACACTGTTGAGGGGAGCAGCGGGCAGGTCAGGAGAGGTCTGCCAGGCCATGTGGGTCAGCTCCCTGGTGGGAGATCGAACTCACTCAAAGCAGCTACATTTGCAGTGTTGCACTTTAACCCAAAAGTATTTTCTTCCAGGAAGCCTTTTCTAAATTTTCCTGAATACCTTCACTGCTGAAAATACCACTTTATACTGAATCTGTTTATTTATGCCTTCCCTTCCCCCCCCCCCAACATTTATCTGTGACCTGTGGGATGGCTGGAGTCACTCATAATTTACTCTAACATCTCCAAATTGAGCACATTGCCTCACTTAGGTGCCTAGTAGAGTTGGATTGTATATACATTTTGGCCCATACAATACTTTATAAATGCAGTAACCTTGCTTTTTGAGAGCAATGTGGCATGATCCCCCAGTAAACTCAAAGATGGAAACGTGACTTAGCTCCATTTTACAAATGTGGAAGTGGGGTCAAAGAGGGGTCAAGCAACTTCCCAAGTAACTTGAATAGCTCATAAGGAATAAAGTCAGGATTCAAACCAGAGCGTTTGCCTGCAAAATCCATATTTTGAATAGCCTGGATAATTAGAACAAGTTCCTGGGTCTCTCCAATCATTATTCTGTACAATGGGGCTAAATATGCATTTCCTCTCAGCCAAAGGCAAGATCAAGCAAGGATGTGTGTGAAGCTCTTTGTGACTCATAAAACCACACGGATGTGAATTATTGCTGCCATAATAATTTCTCATCTGTCTCCTCTTCCTAGGAGGTTTCCCATTCATTTTCAGGCAAGTGTCTAACTAGAGGCAGCCAGATGAATGACTTAGTCATCTGCTGCTCTCTGGTGGCTCCTGATAGGGACCTGGGAGGATGAAAAGAGAATTATTTTTCTTCTGACCTGTGTGCCTGCATCTCAGCTTGGCGGTAAGCAGGCTGCTGGCGGAATTGCAGTAAACAGTGTGCCCTTTCAGCTTGGGGCCCAGTTTCATTTGATGCTTGGGACTTTAATGAGAATAGGAGAGGGAAAAAAGCCAGCTTGGGTAAGGATCCCCCACAATGGCACACAGTTGTCTGCTATTATTCTCTAGGCAATGTTTCATTGGATTAGTAGGGCAATTTAGACTTCTTTTCTTCCTTTTAAAAATATCCTCATACATTTTAAAATTAAACGAACAGCTATCCGCTGAAATGCACTAATTTCAATTTTACAAAAATGACTTGCCACAGCCCCCCGGCCCCTAGCTTGCTGTGATAATCTCTCCAGCAGATTTCCAGCAGAGCACACAGTTGATCAATCTTTCTTAGGTAGAATTTTTCTTCCCAACAAGCAAAAAGTCTTGAGAATTGAATTCTGGACTGCAGTGAAATAGCTGAACCCAGGTCAGTACCTCCTGCTCAAAGCAAGCAATTATTAAAAATTAGTGATGTAGCTTTGGAAATGCTAAATAAAATTCACTGAATACTGTACTTTGGCACTGGGGGGCATGGTTAGGAATGCTTCTGATCAGTTTTAGAATTGAGTGGGCTAGGTGACCCGGTGGAGTGTGTAAATGAGAGCAAGACCCCTGCCTGAAATATATCCTCTCCACCCAACTATACTTCTTTAATCTTTGTCGTTTGCACCCCTGTGTCTTCATTCTTGAAAACTGCAATAATCAAATCAATTCTCTCCCTTAGCTCTCACGCATACCAGACACTGTAGTCTTCTATACACAATGGCCGCCGCCTTTCAGCACTTCTTCCCCATTCATGAAATGGTCCAGCCTCCACTGGATCTGCCCTGGCAGCCTTCTCCCCCTTCAGCCAGTTTCGAACCCTCTGTGCCTCCGCACAAGGTGTTGGTGGCATTGGATCAGGGAGTGCTGGAGCTAGACATTTCTGAGTTTCAGTTTAATCCATAAAACAGAGGAGATGATCCTTAATTCATGGATTGTTATGGGTTAAAGGAGACTATGTGAAATATGTGCAGCCCAGTATTTTGATGAGAACAGGACGGAAGGATAAAAATAACATCATGATGATCATGGACATCAGCAGCTGGACCGGAAATGACATCCCTTTGCGTTACTGCCTCAATTCCTAATCTCCAATCATTATTGACTTGTTTCCTTCACCATGTGATATTTTTTTTCTTGCCACAATGGAAATTTTCACACCATTAAAGACAGATAGAAATAAATAGATATCCATTGCTAAGAGTCACTAATGAACACGTTATTGACTCACATAAGTATTTTTAGTGAAGTTTAAAAAGAAAGTAAATCAGAGATGTCATGACAAAGCTTTAAACACTCTGGCAAATATCTTTAAAAGGGAAGAACAGCATCCTATGTAAAACAAACAAAAAAATACCATGCTATCAATCTTACTTTTAATGCACTAGAGGCAT